AAGCATGCATAGGCACATAGGACGCGTGTGCCATACAGCTCTGTGGAGATCAGCGAGCTCCCAGGACCCACCTGACTCCACCTGCAGTGGGCTATGGGGTATGGTGTTGTGCCTAGACTTCTTTATTTTTTAAAAGCTCATTTTGAGCCAGTCTCACTCCGAAGTTCATGCTGGCCTTAGACTTGCATGGATCTTTTTGCCTTAGCCTCCTGGGTGCTAGCATTACAACTTCTGCCCAGAATAACTTACTTTAAATGTAGTGAATGCAGCAAACTGGATGCTTTATTGTTGAGGAAACTGCATATGTTATTAAAGATACAGCAGAGCATTTGGGAGAGGATCAAAGTTTAGTTCATTTTAAGAACTTGAATATTCAGAGAAGCATTTAGGTCTTTCTTACTAATGCAAATATGCTTTTATTTCAATTACAAAAGTAATGTATTTGTAATGATTCAGAATGAGAATACTAGTGAAATGAAATCATTTGGCCAAAACCACCATGCTCATTTTGTTTGAGACAGAGCATCCCTCTACACCCCAGGATGGCAAATTATAAAGCTTTTTGATGCTATCACCTTAGATTGATGTAGAATTGGTTATGCTTTCTGGAGTATTACAGCTTTGAGAAAATCCCATGGATGGGTCTCAGTTGAGCAAACAAATCAGGTAGCAACAGGGGACATAGCTCAGTGTTCACATAGCATGAATAGGCTCTGGAGTTTAAAACCAACTATATCATAAGTCAGTCAGCAATTAAAGCTAGAAAGCAAAGAATATTTTTTTATTGAATTAAAATTGTATACATGGCTAGGTATGGTGGTGGGTGTTATAATCCCAGCACTGAGGAAACTGAGGCGAGAAGCAGGAGACTCTTGAGTTTGAGGCTACTTGGGCTTCCTAGAGAGCACTAGGCCAGCCAGGGCTTCTTTTTTCTTTTACACTTTAGTTGGGGTTCCTCTGGTCTTTGGTAGCAACACATGAGAATACTTGGACAGTATAACCGTGAGTCAGTGTGCCAGAGGGACAGACATCAAGGTACCCACTCCAGCACTTTGTTAAATAAGAGTTACTGACATTTGCCTGCTGCCTTTTGTTACTGACTTTGTCCTGAGAAAATCCAGTTCATCAGATACCTTTGCTACTTTACTTTTCTAGTAAAACTTGATAATCTGCAGGGACTGGAGAGATGGCTCCAGAGAGCACTTCCTGCTCTTTCAGAGGTCCCGAGTTCAATTCCCAGCAACCATACAGTGGCTCACAACCATCTGTAATGAGATCTCGTGCCTTCTTCCTGATGGGCAGGGACACATGCAGACAGAACACTGTATACATAAGAAATAAATATTAAAAAAAACAACAAATAAACACTTGATAGTCTGCTGAATAAAAGGTTCACCTGATTGCCAGATTTTTGCTTTTTGCCTGAGGTAGATGTATAAAAAGTACTAAAACAATTCCATAAGTTTTTCTTAAATAGATCTTTATTATAGTGAGTAGCTACTTTAAATTCAAACTTATTTTAAGGCAAGGATTCTTGAAAGACAAAAAGGACAAAGAACTTAGGTTTGAAAGTGAAAATAACATTATTAGTATACAGCATGACCATGGCAACTTTCATAAAGGAAAGCATTTAATTGTGGTGGCTTGCTTACAGTTCAGAGGTTTGGTCCATTTTCATCATGGCAGCATGCAGGAAGCAAGGCAGCATGCAGGAAGACATGGTGCTAGAGGAATTGAGAGTTCTTACATCTTACAACAGGAAATGGTCTGTCTCACTGGGCATGACTTGAGGATATATGAGACATCAGAGCCTGCATGTACAATGACACTCTTCCACTAACAAGACCACACCTACTCCAAAAAGGCCATACCTCTCAATAGTGCCACTTCCTTTGGGGGCCATTTTCTTCAAATCACCACAAGCAGTATGCACCTCAGAACCTATAACAACATTTTAGGTGACCTCTGAGCATGAGGAATGAAGGGCTAGGAGTTAAACAGAGAGGCAGACAGATAGGGAGAAGGGCCATGACTAGATAATAAAGGTGGTGAACTTGCAAGATGGCCTTTTCCTCTTCTGACCACAGGCAAGTCTGGCAGCTTAAGAAGGCCTTGTGAGCTTTTCTCCTGACAGTGAGGCCCCTGCTGATTTTATCACTTGTACTTATGTCTTACATTGCTAGTTGCAGTAGCCAGGGCTGTTCTTGCAAGGTAGTGTGTTTTCTTTTTATTTGCTTGTTTTTATTTACTTTATTTTTCTTTTCACTTAAGCAACACTTTAATGTCTCTTCAGTTTTATGTGAGAAACATGTTTCATGTATTTGATTATATTTACTTATTTGATATAAGTGTGTGTGTTTTTTATCTTTTTTCTCTTGTAGGCAAGGTGTCATTTTTGTTTTCTTTTTCTGCTTTTCCATTTTTCAGTTGGACATTTGTAGTGGTTACTTGTTGAAAATATGTTACATTGTCAAAACAAATTTAATATGATGTGGAAGCAGTAGATACCCAAACCTGACAGTGTACAGATTAGTTTTAAAATTGTATAGTGCCTAAGTCAAATGTGATGCTTTGTCTTCTTCATCCCTTGTAGGGTCCTGTATTGATAGGAAGTGCACAAGGTGGTGTTAACATTGAAGATGTTGCTGCCGAGAATCCTGAAGCCATCTTAAAAGAACCTGTTGATATAATAAAAGGCATCAGAAAGGAACAAGCTGTGGCAGTATGTTATGTTGTGAAACATCTTTAGTTTTTTTTTTAATTAGATAATTATAATACTTTAGTAAAACTAACTTTGTAAAACACTGAACAATTAAAGCAGTTTAATTTCTTTTTTTTTTTTAATTGCAGTTTTTGAAAGTACCTACAGTACTTTTCTTTGTAGGGTCTGTAAATATTTCTGCATTTCTTTAAAAAATTGAAATGCTTTTAAGTGGGCCACTGTGCCATTGCTGTATCTAGTAACATTAGCAGGAATTCCTTAATGTTTTCCCATATCCAGTCATTTGCAATTCCCTGATTATCTCATTATTGATTCCTATAGACGTTACATGACCCATAAGAGGTCCTTCACTATGACTTATTAATATGTCCTACAGCACCTTTTTTCTCATGTATAGTTCTTTTCCTTACTTTTAAATTTCAGTTTATTTGTTGAAGAATCAGGGGTGATTATCAGTCACCACTTTTCATTTTAAATGTTCCCTGTCCCCGGTCTTTCCTGTAAATTGTGTGCAGTGGTAGAGAGACTGTCTTAAAACACACACACAAAAACATTTGTTTATAGTTTCTCAGGTTTTCTGAACTGTCCTTTCTTCCCTCCTTCTAAACAAAGTGCTTTGTGAGAATTGAAGATATTGAATTAGATTATTTGCTTTGTGTAGAAAAGTAAGTTAAATAGTTTGCTGTGGATATAAACATAAGGTATATCAATTGCTGTGAGAAATCATTGTTAAAATAAGCTTAGTTATGGAAGTATAGCAACAGCAGGCTTTGGCATAAAGCTCACAGGACAAAGGGGGTTTCTCTAATGAGACCCATGGTTTAAACAGATGAGTGGGATAAATATACAAAAGGCAGATTTGATTTATTAGGAGTTATATGAGAGTGATGACTACAGTGAAATTCAGATAAGGAAGCAAATATTTAATTTACAAGAGCTAAGACAAAGCATTTTGAAAATATGATGATGTGCCTCTCAGTGCTTGGAAATATATAATGGCATATTGGATTAATGAGGACCATTTTTCAATTCTCAAATATTTAAGTCTATAGAAAATCCTTATAGTGAAATGATGCTTATATGGTATTATTTTTCATTTAAAAAAGTTCACCAAGTGACATTTTTCTTTAGTTATCTATTTTTTGCTATTTGGCTCTTTACAAGAATCATATTTACCTTCAAAGGAAATAATTTTTTGTAGTGTTTCTAAGCAGACTACTGTCCTGTGTATCACTGTTTCAAAATTTCTCATGGAACTTTGAAATTGATAATTGTTCCAGCTGGGAAAATAGCTCAGTGGTAGAGCACTTGGCATGCAGGTAGGAGGTCCTAGGTTCAGTACCTGGCAGCAACCCAGCAAAAGGGAGGGATACTTGCTTCATCACAGACATTGTGAACTAGAACTGCTGGCTTGTGATTTTGGTCTTTATTGTTTAAAATGCTCCTAGATGTCTCTAATTCAGATTTCTGCTCAGTCTGTAACTCTTCTAGATGAGAGGCCTAAATGCCTGTATCTCTGGGACCTACCAGAGTTGAGTTTTGAATGGATGAGATAGTGTCCTTTAGCTGTATCTATCCTATTGGCCCAGGAGACATGCCTTGTGTTAACTTAAAGGGGAAGTAGGATGCTTTCATAACTTTGGTCAGTGTTTGGACCATTGAGATTATCAACCTACTTTTTAGATGTAGTTTTAACAAACTATAAATCTCTTTTTCTTCTCCGTATTGTTCTAATTTTTAGTATATGTGCTGCTGAAGTGAGCACATAGTCTCTATTTCAGTTTAGGTTGACTATAATCTCAGAGGCAGTGGGGAAGCTATGGAATGAACCCTGGGACTGTAATCTAGGATAATGGCCAGCGCTTGACCTCTGAGTCAATTCTGATCTTTAAAATGGGCATAAAACCTACCCTGTGAGGATTTTGAAGCACCAGGTTTTGTTGTTTAAACCTTTAGTGGTGGCTCTTTCAGGGATTGTTAACCACTTAACCACAGCTCATGCTTCTCTCTGCTTAAATGATAAAGTTTTTGTTTGCAATATTTTAATGCTCACTACTACTCAAAAGGTGTATTACTTTCAGCTTGCACAGAGAATGGGATTCCCAGCTAACGTTGTGGATTCTGCAGCAGAAAACATGGTCAAGCTTTATAATCTTTTTCTGAAGTACGACGCAACTATGGTAGAAATAAACCCAATGGTAGAAGATTCCGATGGAGTGGGTAATGTATCTTCCTCTATCGGGTGGTGCCTTGTGCCATCTAAGCAGGCAGAACTCGTTCCTGTGTAGCAGCTTATGTTCTCATGAATTGAATGTGTGCAGATTTGAAAGAAACCCACTAAAACCTAAATTAGAGTTGCACTGCCTCATATGGTGACTGCCAGTCTGTCATGGGTGTCAGTGTACACTTTGAAAATCCAGGTGAGTAGTCACATCAGTTACATCCCGGGGGTCGTCATATCAGAAGGTTCAGAAGTGGAGCATTTCCACTTGGGCAGAAGGTCCTGAGGGGCAGCCGGGTTGGAGTAACGAGGGTTGTGGCAAGAGTTAGTTGTGATCTGGGAGAATTTGCCATCCAAGGCTGCATGCCTGGATCTTTTGTCCAAAAGGATATGCTCAGGCATGACGCCATTTCAGTATTTGGAGCTTGTCTGTGTGGGTTGTCTTTAGCATGTATGTAACTGTGCCCTCCACATAGAGAGGTTTATTGTGTCTTTTTTTTTTTTAATGTAAGTTTTTTTTTATCCTACTCTAATGTTTTTCTTGTTATTTTGTATTAACTGCTTCTATTGCTGTAATTTATTTGGTTTTGTAATAGGCTCTTTGGACCGTTAACTCTTAAGTATTTGTAGTCCTTTCATTTTTATGCCTACAGTTATTTCTGTTCTTTATCAAAGAAACTAATTTTTATTTAGTCATTTATATGATAATGAATAAATTGTCTTGTAATCAACAGTTTATGAAACAGAATATAGTGAAACATTTTCAAAGAGTGAGGAATTACCCATATAAAGCATCTGGTATTGCTGTTTTGAATATGTTATTTGAGAGAGCTCAATTAACCCTGAAAACAAGCCTATGGCCTCGTTCCAGCTGAGTTATATATAGCAGCTACGATCTGATCTGCTGCTGTGGGAATGCACTCATGCTCTTAACTTGGTGTGCTCTTCTTGGTGACTTAAGTGTGTGTTTAGGACTTTGTTGCTTCTTAGAGATGCACAGGGGAAGAGGTGCTGCGACTCAGGCCTGCCTGTATGTGTACTGCCTACTGGGCCATACTGCCCTCTCTGGTGCCTTTTACCTCTTACCTTAAAGTTATACAGAAGAATCTTTTCTAGTTATATCTTTGACTGTATCTGTGATTGTCTTTCGTACAGATTTTAGAAGATTTTTGGGTCAAATAGTAGTATTTTTAAGGTATGCTTTGATCTTCGATTTTGTAATACCTTTTCCCAGGTAGATTTCTTCTCACTCCATCTGTCCCATTCCTTTCCCCCCTAAATTCTAATATATTCTCAGAGTCAGTTTTGTTGCATATTTTGCATACTGGGCTTTATCTACAAAATGATGATGAAGAAATGGTGTTTTGTCTAATTTGGTCAGTTCTTTGATTTCTTCTAATGTGTTTTTTTCATGTTTGTTGAGCATGTTTTCTGTTGATGTGCTCTTTGTTTACCAATGTTAGTTTTTTTATGTCTGATATAGCAGATCCATAGCTTGAAGTGATTTAACACCAGTTTTTTTGCCTTCATAGGGAAATCCAAAGTGGTTCTCAGGTGTTAGCAGGATTGCATGTTTTCAGAGGCTGTAGTGAAGAGCCTGTTGCTTCACTTCACCCTTCCCAGTAGCGCTCCTTGGTCTGTAGGCAGGTACTTCATTTCAGTCTCTGCGTTGGTGGCCACATTGTTTTTTTTTGTCTTCTGTGCGTATCTACCTGCTCTTCTGGCTTTCCCTTGTAAGGATGCTTATGGTTCCTGTAATCCAGGATAATATCTGATATCACCGTCCTTATCTGAACCATATCTGTAGAAACTCCACCATATTAAGTATTACAGTTTCTATGAATTAGTGACTTACTTGCTGCAGTACACCAATTTTGTTAGTTTTTCTTACTACTTTAGTGACATCTGTATATGTTTGTATTAGTTCTTAATATTACTCAAAAATTAATGTAATGAAGTATGTTTACTCACCCTTAAAAAACTCTCTGCTCTCACCTGTTCCCTTGTTCTTTTTTTTTTGTCTAGTATTCATTTTTAACTAAAACATTAGAAAGCATGTTCTTAATTATTCCCTTAAGCATTGTAAACTATGTGCATTTTGCCTCTTGCTTTATTCACTTAGTCATGTATCCTGGTGATATCTCCAGGTATATAGACACTTTGTTTATTAAGGATGCTAACTTCTTTTTTGGCATTTGATCTGCATATTCTTCTTAATTTTACTGTTTAATTTTTCTCATCTTGGAGAAAGTTATTAAAATTTTTAAGTTTTTGTCTTAGGGTTTTTACTGATGTGAATAAACACCATGACCTTGGCAACTCTTGTAAAGGAAAACATTTAATTGGGGTTGTCTTACAGTTTCAGAGATTTTAGTTCATTATTGTCATGCAGGACATGGTGGTCTGTAGACACACATGGTGCTGAAGAAGGAGGTAAGTTCTCTATTTGATCTGCAGGCAGTGGGAGTGAGGCTGTCTTGTTCTTGGCAAAGCTTGAGCATATGAGAACTCGAAGCCTGCCTTCACAGTGACACACTGTGGTGATATATTGCTTATAATTTATTAAAGCCACTGAAGATCAGAGAAGCAAAGCAGCCAAGCTACCAGAGAGCTCTTACCTCTACCAAGGTTGGAAGGGGGATCCTCTCCTCAATGTGGCTGGAGATTAATTGCCATGAGACTGAATACTGAATGCCTCATAAGACCCTGGGCTCTTTCTTATAATGCTGGGATTAAAGGTATGAGTTCTATTTTTCTTTTAGACTAATTCACTCTCATGTAGTTCTGGGTGGCTTTGAACTCACAGAGATCCATCTGCCTGTGTCTCCTGAGAACTGGAATTAAAGGCTTGTGCCACCATTGCCCAGCTTCTATAGCTATGGCTTTGGCTAGCTTTGCATTCTGATCTTCAGTGGCTTTATTAGATTGTAAACAATATATCACCATGGTCATAACACAATACAGAAATGTATTAGGTTCAACTTTAAAAAAGTTCTTAAAGTCTATAACAGTCTCAAACTTTTTTAAAAATTCAAAGTTCAAAGTCTCTACTGAGATTCATGCAATCTGTTTACTGTAATCCCCTAAAATCAAATCAAAAGGTAGATCACATACTTCCCACATATAATAGCACAGGATATATGTTAATAATAGCACAGGATATATGTTAATATTCCAAAATGGAGGACAGGAAGCATAGTGAAATGCTGGACCAAAGCAAGACCAAAAACCAGTTGGGCAAACTCCACTTGTTAGACCCCCAGAAAACTCAGGTATCCGGGGTCCCAGGCCACGACCTCGGTCACCCCAATCACCAGGTAGATTCGAGAGCTTGCTGCAAACTGCATGAGGCTTTATTGTAATTTAACAAGCTAACCCCATGTTAGCTCAGGTCTTTTGTCCACCCACCATGGCGGTTGGCTACAAAAGACAGTTTGAACCGGCTGCCGAGAGATCGGCTGCCGAGAGATCTTGTAGGGCAGCGTAAGGGGAGTGTCTAGGGGTACGCACAGGCTCACGATTGGTGTTCCTCCAGACTTGGAGGGCTTGCCCTGTGTTGATTGGTCAACTGGTTGTTATGGCCCATAGGCCTTCCCAGGGTGGTTGCTATGTTCTGTGCGTCATTGCTGTGTGCTTGTCCGTAAAGTACACCCAGGGTCGTAAAGCATAGCGCCACCAGCTAACTTCTGATTGGTTCCTTGTCACAAGGCAGGCATCTGACCTCTAGTGACTAAGACAAGATCATAGTGAGCACGTGTTACTGTCATGGCTGCCGAAATGGGGGGCTGGTCCCTTCACACTCTATAACTCCATGACTAATGTCAAAGTGTTCTTCAGATTTCCAACTCCTTTCAGCTTGTTGAATGCAACACACTTCTCTCTCTTGGGCTGGTTTTACTCCCTAGTAGCAGCTTTCCTCAGCAGGATCCCATGACTCTGGCATCTCTAACATGTTGGGGTCTTCAAGGCAATCCAGGCTTCACTTCCACAGATTCACACAGTGGTCTCCCTGGGCCTCCATGCAGGAACACCCCTGACATATGCCTTGCCACTATGGCTTTCCTAGACATGAGGAAGATTCCATATCCCATTTCTTCTATCCTTGACTCTATAGCCAGACCCACATGCTAAAGCTGCCAAGTTTTGCTGCTTGCTGGAGCTGGAACATGGCCTTCTTATTCAATTACATCTTCATTTGCTTTCTGTTTTCAGTTGTTTCCTTCACTGCCTTAACTTGGCTATCCTGAAATTTGCTCTGTAGACCAGGCTGTCCTTGAATTTAGAGATCTGTCAGCCTCTGCCTTCTGAGTGCTGGGATTACAGGCATGCACCACTATACCTGGCTCTCAACTTTCCTTTTGTTCCTTTTTACAAGTTGGAAACCTAGCTGGGTGGAGTCTTGCCTTGAGGTTGCTACTCCCTTTATTCCACTTAATAGCCAGCACTTCTTTAATCTCTTCATCTCCTTGAACATAGGATTTAGCTCCATCCCACTTCCTGGTGTCCCTTTTCACCTCATTCAGTACATTTTGTATTTTTACTTTCTCAGGATACTCCTTTTCATTATTAAGTGTTACATAATGTTCGTAAGAGTAAACATTAGTAACCAGAGAGCAGAATCTGTACTAGGCTGTTTTGAGATTTCCTTTGCCAATTCACTTAATCCAGAATTCTTCACTTTAGCCTCAGACAGACTTTTTTGGACAAAGACAAAAAGCAGCCCCATTCTTAGCCAAAGTATCACAAGAATAGTCTCTAGGCCACATATTAAAATTTTTCTTCCCTGAAATCTCTTAAGCCTAGCTTCCACAGTTCAAATTACCCTCAGCACCAGTCTTCCATGTTCTTCTCGTATTATCCATTAAGCAGTGTTAAAGCATTCCACTGCTTTCCTGATCCAAAGTCCCCAAATCCACATTCCTTCAAATAACAGCACAGTCAGTTCTATCACAGCAATACCACACTCCTAGTACCAACTTCTTAGGGTTTCTACTGCTTTGAAGAGAACCCTCACCACAGCAACTCTTATAAAGGAAAACATTTCATTGGGACTGGCTTATAGTTTCGGAGATCTAGTCCATTATCTTCATGGCAGGAAGCAGCAGCATGCTGAAGAAGGAACTGGGAGTTCTACATCTTGATCCACAGACAACATAAGGAGACTATGTACCACATATGGGTGTAGCTTGAGTATAGGAGACCTCAAAGTCTGTCTCCACAGTGCTACACTTTCTCCAGCACGGCCATACCTCCTAATAGTGCCATTCCCTATGGATCAAGCATTCAAACACATGAGCCTACGGAAGCCATACCTATTCAAACCACCTGTTCTCAATTAGTCAGACCCCTTTTTGTTTTTTGTTTCAAGACAGGGTCTTTCTGTAGCTTTGGAGCCTATCCTGGCACTCGCTTTGTAGACCAGGCTGGCCTCGAACTCAAAGAGATCAGCCTTCCTCTGCCTCCCCAGTGCTGGAATTAAAGGCATGCGCCACCAATGCCTGGCAGTCAGACCCCTTTTTTGACTTCCTTTTTTAATATATAATTTTTAAAAATTCATTTTACATTCCAACTACAGTTCTTCCTCCCACTCCCCTGCCACACCCTTTACCTTCCCCAGCCCTTCTTCTAGTTTTCTTCACAGATAAAAAGTTCCATGAGGAGTCAATAAAGTCTGACACAATAGGTTGGGGCAGGACGAAGCCCCTTTCTCATGCATTAAGGCTGAGCATGGCATCTCACTATAGGGAGTGGTTGCCAACAAGCTAGTTTTTGTACCAGGGATAGATCCTAGTCCTACTGCCTGGGGCCCCTCAAATAGTCCAAGCTTCACTACTGTCTCCCACATATGAAGGGCCTAGTTTGGTCCCATGGAGTCTCCACAGCTGTCAGAGTTCATGAGTTTCCACAAGTTTGGTTCAGCTGTTTCTGTAGATTTTTCCATCATGGTCTTGACCTCCCTTGCTCTTTCATTTGACTTGGTGCTTGATTGTGGATCTCTGCATCTGGTTCCATCAATTACTGGATGAAGGCTCTATGATGATAGATGGGGTGTTCACCAATCTGAATACAGGGGTAGCCCAGTTTAGGGATCCTCTCCATTATTGCTAATAGTCTTAGCTGGGGTCATCCTTATAGAACTTGGGAATTACCCTAGTATCAGGTTTCTCCCTAACCCCATAGTGGCTCTCTCTATTAAGATATCTCTTTCATTGCTCTTCCACTGCATCCCTCTCCCTCAACTATCTCATTCTCTCATGTTTTTATCCCCCCCTTCCCTCGCCATTGCAGGCTCCTCCCCTTTTTCCTTTTTCCATTGTATCATTTTGGCTTCTTTGTCAAAAATCAGGTGTTCATAGGTGTGTGAATTAATGTCAGGGTCTTCGATTCAATTCCATTGATCCGCCTGTCTGTTTTTATGCCAATACCAAGCTGGTTTTTTTTTTTTTTTTTTTTTTTTTTTTTTTTTTTTTTTTTTTTGGTTTTTGAAGCTCTATAGTAGAGTTTGAAGTCAGGGATGGTGCTGCTTCCAGAAGTACCTTTATTGTGCTTTGGAGGTCAACTAGTGTAGGGCTTTTTGTGATGGGCTGTGAGGGTGTGGGAAGACTGACCACTTATGTTAAGTTCCTGCCCAAACTTCCCGTGATCAAGCAGGCAGTGATGGGTATGTTGGATGCAGAGGCAGTAGCTCTGAAACATTCAAAATCCCCAACTCCTCTTCAAGTTGAGAATCTCCCAGCTTCTGAATCTTGCGCCAGACTTCTGCTTCTGTGTTCTAACCCTATACTGAGAAGGGGAATGCTACTGAAAGATGAAATCAGAAATGGTCTTCATAGAGCTGTTTGTGCTGGGTATGGTGCCACATATCTGTAATTCCTTGGGAAGTTGAAGGAGGAGTGTGAGTTCGACTCATAGTAAGACCCTGTCTCAAACAGCCAAGGGTTGGGATATAGATCACGGGTGGAACTTGCCTACTATGTGCTATGCTCTGGGTTAGATGCTCATAATACCTCGGGGGGGAAAAAAAAAGCATAAGAAAGGAAAAAAAAATACGTGTGAATGATAGGAGCAAAATTGGTGAAAGTAGTTTGACAGGTTGGTAGTTCCTAAGTATTTTGCTTTATCAAGCATTCACAGTGTTGAGGTTTGGAGTTTTCTTATTTTTGTTCCCCTTTTCTGTTTATTCTTGGTAATCTTTTTAAATTGTGAATCACTTTCGTAGTTTACAAGTCGTAACAGAAATAGGCAAAAGTCATCTGGCTCATGGGCCATTGTTTGCTGACCCTCACGTCCTCTTAACATTCAAATCTTTAGTGCTTCTGCTGCTAAGGAAGAGAAGTGTGAGGAGGAGGGCTTTAGGGAAAATTGTGCAAGTTGATGGAATTTAATCATTATAAAAGGACGAGTGGGTTTAGGATTTATCAGAAAACAGAGTATCCTTGAATGATAAGAGGACATGGTATCTGAGCCCAAGGGAAAGGTTTTTAGCTAAGAACACAGCCAGTTAATATTTGGAAAGGTTCAAAAAAATGTGTAATGTCTTTTTTTTTTTTTTGATTGGATTGTTAGATTGTTTTATTCTTTTAAATGTTTTTTAAATTTAACTTAGAAATAATCTTATTTTACATATCAATCAGTTCTCTCTCCCTCCCATCCTCCCATGCCCCTCACCGATCCCCCTCATCCCATCCCCCATCCACTCCCCAGGTTGGTGAAGCCTTCCATGGGGGATCATTAGAGTCTGTCATATCATTTGGGGGATGGCCTAGGCCCTCCCCTATCTATCTGGGCTAAGAGAGTATCCCTTCATGGGGAATGGGCTCCCGAAATCCGTTTGTGTGCTAGGGATACATCCTGGTTCCACTGCCAGAGGCCCCATAGACTTCCCGTGTTCCTAGCTGACACCCACATTCAGAGGGGCCTGGTTTTGTTCCATGTTGGTTCCCCAGCTGTAAGACCGAGGTCCATGAGCTCCCACCTGCTCAGGTCAGCTGTTTCTGTGGGTTTTCCCAGCGTGGTCTTGTCCCCTTTTTTTTGTTACTCCTTCTTCTCTGAAACTGGATACCAGGAGTTTGGCTCAGTGCTTAGCTGTGGATCTCTGCTTCTGTATCCATCAGCTACTGGATGAAGACTCTAGGATGGCACTTAAGGTAGTCGTCATTCTCATTATAGGGGAAGGACATTTAAGGGAGCCTCTCCACTATTGCTTAGGGGCCTAGTTGGGGTCATCCTTGTGGATCTCTGTACAGTTTCCTAGTGCCAGATTTCTCTTTAAACCTTTAATGGCTCCCTCTATTGATGTGTCTCTTTTCTTGCTCTCCTTTATTCATCTCCTGACTCAATCTTCCTGATCTCTCATGTTCTCCTCCCACCTCCTCTTCTCCCCGTCTCTCTCTCCTACCTTCATCCCCCTTCCCCTCATGCTTCCAATTTGCTCAGGAGATCTTGTCCCTTTCCCCTTTTCGGGGAACCATGTGTGTCTCTCTTAGGGTCCTCCTTGTTTCCTAGATTCTCTGGCATTGTGGATTGTAGTCTGGTAATCCTTTGCTCTATGTGTAATATCCGTATGAGTGAGTACATACCATGTTTGTCTTTGTGTGACTGGGTTACCTCACTTAGGATAGTTTCTTCTAATTCCATCCATTTGCCTATGAATTTCAAGATTTCATTGTTTTTTTTTTCCGCTGAGTTAATGTAATTGGTGTAATGTCTTTGAGGAAGTTTGCAGAAACAGTAACTTTGTGGTATTTTAGATTCCTATTTTTCTTTAAGAAACAGTTTGAATTCATATTGTGAACATAAATTGAAATACTTTGAATAAAGGACAAATTAAAATGTCTTTTTACCCTTAAACCATGTTTATTATTAGATAGGTAATTGTGTCATAAAATTAAGACTGCTGTTTTCCTCTCTAAGTGTTATGTATGGATGCAAAGATCAACTTCGATTCAAATTCAGCCTATCGCCAAAAGAAGATCTTTGATCTTCAGGACTGGAGCCAGGAAGACCAAAGGGACAAAGATGCAGCTGATGCAGATATTAACTACATTGGCCTCGATGGGAACATAGGTTGTCTAGGTACCTAATGCGTTCTCATGTTACAGTTGGCTTTGTACAACTTCATGCATTTTCTGTGTTCCTTATACAAATCATCTTTTCCTCTTGATAGTAAATGGTGCTGGGTTGGCTATGGCCACAATGGATATAATAAAACTACATGGAGGGACTCCAGCCAACTTTCTTGATGTTGGTGGAGGTGCCACAGTCCAGCAAGTAACAGAAGCATTTAAGCTTATCACTTCAGATAAAAAGGTAAGGATGGGCTTATGTGTTAGAATTGGAGTTGTAAGAAGTAACCTGATTAGTTGGTAGATGTCATTATGCTAGTTCAACATTAAAATTCAGAGTACTACAATAGTTTGAAAAGAGGAATTGAAATCTTTGAAGTGAAATACAAGTTAGAGAAACTTTGATGGAATTAATGTTGAAATTTAGCAAACTGAAGAAATTTGATAAAATTAGACATTAATGCCTCTGGTGAACTAGCTTGGGAGCCATTCATAGGAAAATAGTTTTGGTGGTATTATTTGACTTCAGAAGCCTGGGATTCTGTAGATATGTACCCATGCATAATTGCTTAGTTCATTAATAACGACTGTTGATACTGTTGACAATATTTAGTTTTTTTGACATTAAACTTTAGGATAAAGTAAATCACTGAAAATGGTAGAAGATGGAAAAATATTCTTTGTTCCTAGATAGAATTTAAAAAGATTTTTTTTTATGGCTTTCCCTTGGAATTCCATAGAGTTATTTACCCCCCCCCCTTTTTTTTTAAAAGAATCCAGCTAAAATGAGGCACATTGGGAGTTGGTACCCGTTGTACTGCAGGGGCAGTGGTTAAGGATTTTGGAATCTATGTGCTGAGCTTGAGTCGTGGTGACTATCTAGTAAACAACTGGCTATAAATATGCTGTACCTTTAAAATATTGTTATGTATATGTTTGTGTCTGTGTGTATATGTGCAAGTGGGTGCCCATCGAAGCCAGAAGAGGATCTCCTGATGCTGGAGTTACAGGTGTTTGTGAGCCACCTAATGTGAGTGCTGGGAACTGAACTCTGGTCTTCTGCAAGAATAGCAGTCACTTTTACCTGCTGAACTATCACTCTAGCTCCAGGATATTACACTTCTTCTAATGATTGGAGATACATTTGACAGTTCTCAGCATATTGGGAAAACTTGAGTTCTTAGGTGATACGGAGAGGAAGAAAACAATGGGACCTGTCCCCTCAGTGTTGTAGAAAAAAAGCTATTGTAAGAGAGAGAATAAATTGGTAGAGGTAAGATCACATCAGGAGAGGGTTGATGACCAGGGCAGACAATTTAAAGAAGGAAGACTATAGGTAGCAGTGAAGAAGAGTAAGGACTGAAAGAGCTCCTGAGATTTGATTAGCTAAAGGGGCTTTGGTTCAGAGGACAAATAGTTATAGAGGTGTTATGACCTGGGTTTGAATCAAAAATTGGTTGTACTCATGGGGCTGAAAGAAGGGAATAGTAGGTGATGGACACTAATGGAGATGCTTTCTGTGACATTGCTGTAGGACAGGATCTGAAATGATTGTGTTGGTAAACAGGAAGAAGTAGGTAGAATGACAAGGTTTTGTATGTGACATAGTAGAAAACAAATATAAGCAGGTGTTGAAATTAGTGAAAGTAAGTTCTGGTTGGTAGTAGACTGAAAGATAGAAAGGGAAATGATGGCTTTATCTGAAAATATTTCCATGGAATTGATTTTTATAAGACACATTCTGCTGTTTTGGGAGAAAAGGATAAATACTCATTCCTTTAATATTTACTTTATTGATAGGTACAGTCTATTCTGGTCAACATTTTTGGAGGAATAATGAGATGTGATATTATTGCAAAAGGAATAGTTATGGCAGTAAAAGACTTAGAAATAAGAATACCTGTTGTGGTACGGTTACAAGGTGAGTGTTAAAGATATTCTTTCTAGTTGTTTAAATGATGTAATTGTGAGGAGCACAGTTGAAGTACAGTTTTACAAATAGCTGTGTCTTTTCAATGAAAGCATTAAATACAAAACTTGGAAACTCTGTTACTGTGATAAAATACCATGATCAAATGCAACTTAAGGTGTGGCTAGTGCACACCTTTAATTCTATCACTCTGGATGTAGAGGCAGGAGGATCCCTGAGTTCAAGACCAGCTTGGACTACAAAGTGAGTTCCAGGAAAGCTGGGACCACACAGGGAAACCCTGTCTCAATAAAACAAAACAAGGGGCTGGAGAGATGGCTCAGGAGTTAAGAGCACTGGCTGATCATCCAGAGGTTCTGAGTTCAATTCCCATCAACCACATGGTGACTCACAACCATCGATGAGATCTGGTGCCCTCTTCTAGCATGCAATGATATACACAGGCAGAACACTGTGTACATAACAAATGAGTAAATCTTTAAAAAACACACAAAAAAAGGCAACTTAAGGAAGATTTTATTTTGGCTTATGATTTCAGAGGACAAGATAGCCATAATAGTGGAAGAGGCACCTGCAGGAGTGGAAAACTGAAATTACATCTCAGTCACACACACAGTAAAATAGGATGAGACTATAAACCTGTCTCTAGTGATGTACTTTTTCCAGAAGGCTCTCACTCTAAAACTTGTGTAACCTTCCCAGACAGTGCCAGCAATTGGGGGCCAATGTTCAAATACATGAGCCTGTGAAGGACATCTCTCACTTAGACCACTACAATGTGATTTTTTTTTTTTTTAATTTACTACACTGGGCAAAAATGCTCTCAAAGTTTTGCTTTTTGTAATGTGACATGTTAGGCTTTTTCTTATGGACTAATCAGCCCCCAAATCATATCACGGAAACTTGTTAATTATGAATGAATGCTTGGCCTTATCTCTTGTTTTGATCTTGTTTCCCTTTATTTATTTATGTTTTGCCTCAGGACTTTTTAACCTTTCTTTCTGTATATCTTACTTTCCTGCTGTCTCCATGTCTGACTGGCAGTTGTCTGGCTTCTGGCCCCAGACATGTCCCTCTCTTTCTCCCTTGTGCTCTCCTTTATCTTCTCCTTTGCCTAGATTTCTCCTACTTATTCTCTCTGCCCATCAGACCCACCTGTTTCTCTCCTGCCTACCTATTGGTTGTTCAACTTTTTATTTTATCAGTCTGGTGCCTTTGGCAGGCAAGGTGAAACAGATGTAGCACATCTTTACATAATTAAACACACATCCTTACATCGTTAAACAAATGCAGCATAAACAAATGTAACACATCTTTATGTAGTTAAAATAATATTCCACAAGAGTGATTTGTTTTGTGATTTTTTTCTGAGATTTTGACTTTGCTTTTATTACTACAGATATAGTAAAATGAAATATTTCATGAGGTAGTTCCAAGCTCTTAAAATTTTTTTAAATAATTATTTGTGTTAAATAATAGAAACTCCTATATGAAATACTTAACAGTGTTAAAAAGATTTTAAATGCTTTTTGTGTATATACATGCACATACACATTTAATTCATTTGTTTATGTTTGCATAAATTATTTCCAGGTACACGAGTTGATGATGCTAAGGCACTAATAGCAGACAGTGGACTTAAAATTCTCGCTTGTGATGATTTGGATGAAGCTGCTAAAATGGTAAGTGGATTCTGTAATGATAAATCTTTATTCCATCTACCCGAGTCCAGCTGCCATGTGGGCACCCAGAATAACACACAGAGTTTTATATTAGTTTACAATGCTGCTGGCCAATTGACTAGGATTTCTTTATATGCTAGCTTAGTCTTTATTATCATAAATTTATATATTCTATAAGACTTATTGAGGATGCCTTCCGCTGGCGTCCTCTTCCCGGGATCACATGGTGGCTCTGTAGAGAAGAGAGCAGGAGGAAGAGCAAGAGCAAGAGCAAAGAGGACGATGTCCTTCTTATCCCTGCTTATATTCTGAGTCTGCCTGCTATGTCATTTCCTGCCATTTCCCAGAATCCTCCTTGACCCCTAGTCTCACCTATCTTGCTTTCCTATTGGCCAACATTATCAACCAATAAGACAAATACACAGAAGGACCTCCCCCATCATTTTCTCTTTTCTGTCTAAATAAAAAGATGGGTTTTCATTACCATTTATAACCAACCCCATTTCAATGAAAACAAACATTTATAAACAATATTTGGGAATTTAGGCGTTGTTCATTCCAAACTGCTTCCTGCTGGTTGGGGGCAATGTCCACACTATGGGGATCATGATAAAACAGAGAAATCTGGTCAGGTCCTTGTTTTTGTAGTCTACAAGGCTGCATTGTCTCAGTTTTAGATGTTGGATCAGTTGGGACACTGGTTCAGGGGGTCTTGCTTCATCAAACCATATTAGTCTGGAAGGAATCCATAGCTTTTCATTTTCTGTGGAAACACAAACAAAAACTCTTTTTCCAAGTAGCCTAACCTTAGACTTAAATTTTGAAGGCAAAGTATTTTATAAATGTATAAGTTGGATTAATTTATCAGCATTTATAAGCAAACATATTGTAGCAGCTGTAGCTCTTTCCTCGGTAATCAAACAACTTAAAGATAACAATATAGCATATAGTATCCAAATTCTCTGTGTATTTCCCATCTTTACTTGGCTATTTATTTATTTATTTTATTTTTATGTTTCCCTATATGAGTTTCTCTGTAACTTTGGCTGCCCTTGAATTCACTCTGTATACCAGGCTGGCCTTGAAGTCACAGAGATCTGCTTGCCTCTGCCTCCCGAGTGCTGGGATTAAAGGCATGCTCCACCACACCAGCTATTCTATTTCCTCCTGTTTCTTTTTCTCTCACAAGCCTACATACACATACATACATACATACACACACACACACATATTTTTTTTGGTTTTTCAAGACAGGGTTTCTCTGTGTAGCTTTGGAGGCTATCCTGGCACTCGCTCTGGAGACCAGGGCCTGTAAACCTTTAGAGGTTTTTCTTCATCTGTATCTGTCTTTATTGTAAGTCTTTACCTTTTTCTGACCACACAGTCTTTTATCTGGTAAACAACACTGCTAAAGTTAAAGCGGGGGCTTTTTTACCTGCTGTCTTTCCAAGACGGTCCGGGGTAAGTTTACTGCCAGACTGAGAGCTGTGCTCACTGCCTTGGTCTATGATGCCATCAAGCAGCAGGCTGCCGGCTTGGAGATGTGGTCACTGCCGCTGCCAGCTGCATGGGGCATGAACCCACAATCCTGATGTTAAGAGTCTCATGCTCTACCAACTGAGCTAGCCGGGCCTCTTAAAAAGAGCCCTGTTACGATAAATCTTTCCGCCAAAATACTGCCTGAGCCCCACCGCCACGTGTGAGCTTTATGACAGCCGCCTGCCCGAGTTAGGCCCAAATGAATACACAGAAACTTGTATTAGGTACAATGCTGCTTGGCCAATGACTAGGATTCTCATCTGTTAGCTCAGTCTCAATTATCATACATCTATATATTTTATAAGACTTATCTTATCGGATGCCTTATGGTGTCCCTCCTTGCTGGTGGATCACATTGTGCCGCTGGAGCAGGAGCAGAGGGGAAAAGAGGGCCCTTCCTGTTTCCTTCGTTTAAATATGAGTCTCCTTGCTATGTCACTTCCTGCCTAGATCAGCACTTTCTACTACATTTCCCGAATCCTCTTTGACTTCTAGTCCTGTCTACTTGCTGTCTCATTGGCCAAACAGTATTTTATTTAACAATCATAAAGATAAACATACACAGTACATTCCCTATCATCTCCTCTTTTCTGTCTAAATAAAAGGATAACTTATCTTTTATAATAACTGAAGAAAACTATAATCATAACTATCTGTCTTCAACTCCATCAAAGACCACAGAAGGAAAATATATAAACTCTAGAATTGACAGAGACATCCGCTACCTGGACAGTCACCCAAAATTCCTCTGTAACATTGGGGCATCCATCTTCACTGCATGTCCAATTTATACAGCAACAAACAGTCCAGGTAAGAGCAGTTTCTTGCCCAAATGGCTAGTCTTGACATGTTGAAAGCAAACTCCTCCTTTCTGATGTAATTGGTATGCCAGGAGTAGTTATGTCTTAAGGACAGGAAGAACCCTAAACCATTTAAATGCCATATTTCTGTAGGTCTTTGAAAGGTTTGAAGAATACCTAACCATCTCAAATACATCTCTATATCTACAAAACCTAACTAACCTAATTATAAGTTCTGACTATTATAGGTAAAAGACACAATACCTAAACAAGAGGAGACATACATATCACAAAATTGACCTTAAAGTTGTATCAATAAATGAAAATCTATGCCAGTGCAAAGTATTCATTCCTATATCCTATTCTCCTTTTCTTTCTTTAAAGAGAGATTAACTATGCTCATTATCATTTATAACTAACCCCATTTAAATGAAAACAAACATTTATAAACAATATTTGGGAATTTGGGCGTCGTTCTTTCTAAACTGCTTCCTGCTGATTGGGGACGATATTCATATCCCATAGAGATCATGATAAAACAGAAACCTGACCAAGTCGCTTGCGAGGGTGTGGTCAGGCACACTGTAGCTAGCCCCTAAGTAGGTGTGGCTACAGCTTCCCCTACAGAGCCCTGCGGTTTTTGCTGCCTATGCTGAGTCAGGAAAACTCTCTTAAAGGAACCGCTCAAGTCTCTGCTTGTCTCTAACAAAACAGAACCCATCGGAAAAAATGCTGCTACCAAAAAGTCGTGCTTGTCTCTGTTCTTTTGCTGCTAAAAATCCCTTTTTAAGCTTTTGTGAAGTTTATGTGGAAGTTCGTAACACTACTGCCAGCTGCCTGGATTCTGCTGCTGCTTGACTAGTCTCAGGAAGGCAGCTCGTGGTGACTGTCAACTCGTGGCTTGTGGCAGCTTGAGGTGGCAGGTTCCCCTCTTCCTCTGGGAACCTTGGGGCATGGAGTTATCCCACTCCTGACACCATTTTGTAACGATAAATCGTTACAGGGTTCTGATGTTCTAAGGACAAATTTGTAGTCTGGAAAGGATCTGTAGACCATTCGATTCTAAAATGATCCAGCTGAGAACTAATACTGCTAATATGAATGTTTAAATATATGGAAAGCAAGCTTAATTCTGGGGAGTGACAACAACATACACATATATGGCTAAGGTGGAGTTTGCAGTGGGGGATAAAGATTGTACCCAGCCTCAAATGTAACAGGAGAATTTCTATCCAAGGATCTAGACAGGTGGTCACCAAGTGTGAGATTATTAAAAGAAATCAAAATAAATGAGGGGAGATTCCTGTTCATATTGACAATGCAGAAGAGTCTGGAGGCAAGGAGAATTTAAAAATTTTTCAGAACCTTTTATATCTATTATCTATTATCCATCTTAAGCAGTGGCCACATTACACCCAATCTGGTCTAATCTATGTTCTTATCTATTTCTTCCCTCATCTATTAGTAGTTAGTAAATCTCCATGTGCATCATTTTATACACTACAGTCATATAGATGAAGGTGAAGTAGTATAATGATGTAAAGGAATTACTGTTACAGGACTCTGGACTTCTGATTGTGAAAGTTCAGCAGTTATCTCATACCATCTATATTCTTTGTTAGACTTGGGTCAAACTGTACAGCAGTTGGGTAATAAATAACTGCATTTTTAAATCGGTAGCTCTCCTGTTTTAAAGTAATCTTCCTCTGGAGTTTATTTGTTAAATATAGTCTTCTGGTCCTGTAGAGTCTCCGTTGGTCTGGGAATCATCTGTTTACTATGTTCTTCTGTTCTCTGTATTTTTCTCTTAGACTAGAAGTTCAGTCTGCAGTGTTGACTATATTTGACAATGATTCCTCCCTGCCCCAGGATCTGGTGGGAAAATTTCCATGTGTATGGATGGAGAAATAGCTTATATAAATTCACTTATTTAAAATCAGACCTTTTTTGTAACTACTTTACCAGGAGAGCAGCTGAATTTTAGCTTTAGACATGTCTAATTTGTATGGCATTTTGTATGGAAACAGGTATTTTCATGTCTTACAGGGCATTGGAGTTTTAATTGGTTATTGTTACCTCACAGGAAATATACCAGCAATTTTTATATCTAAACTCCTACCTCAATATTATAAATTAAGCTTGAAAGCTTTTTCAAAGTAGGTTTTATTTAGTAGTGCTTTGAATTGTGGGTATCTTACAAGGATATTCACTGATTTTGTGTTCAAAATTAGGTAAAACATATCTAGTTATATATCATCTTTATTGGAATACATTTAGTTGACTATAGGTTATGAGGAATGTCAGACTTGACACCCTTCCAAGTGTCAGTTCCTGAAAGAAAGTTGTGTGACTTACACCAATGTCAGAATAGCCCTAGTGTGTTAAATGGAAAAAGATTCTGTGTTCATTTTGCCTTGGTTTATAATGTGTGTTCATCTTTTTATGAATATAGAATCAGAGATGTCGTGTTCTCTCTTTCAGGTTGTAAAGCTCTCTGAAATAGTGACCTTAGCTAAAGAAGCCCACGTGGATGTGAAGTTCCAGTTGCCGATCTGAGCAAGAACTTGGTGGCTGCCTGACATATTAATGTGCTGTAATTCTTTATTATACTGTGGTCTCTGCTATTGTCCCTTTCCTTTTCAGTGTGTGGAGAATGTAATCGCCCATAGCACCTCACAAACCCTTGAAAGCATTTGGTCTGTGTTTGATTCTTCTGCTCAGAATGGACTGTTTGTATAAAGAATGTATGTATGGTGCACATTGCTGGTTTCTTTTGTTGCAGCCATCTTTTTCTTCCTCTATAGAAAGTCACTTGCAGTATATCTCTTTTCTGTTGTTGGATACAGAGTTCTTCATTGCTAAGAGTTCTATAAATAAAATAACTACAAAGATAAAGCTTTATTCTTTAGTATGAAAATATATCTAATAACTGCCTCATTAGAACAGTGGTGTGTTAAAACAATGTTTATATAAGAAATATTTATCTTCAGCGTCAAATGGATCTTAAATGTATCAATCATTATTTATACATAGAACTTTCAAGCACTCCTCAGAATATCTTCTAAGTATTTCAGAGAAGTAACTTGTTGATTATTTGAACATCATTTTAATCATTATAGGACAATGATAACCACAAGTCTTCATGATTCTGTGGTGGTGAAAACATCTGCAGGTTGATATCTCAGACATTTATTAAGAACATGGTGGGCAAAATTAAGATTGCCAATTTAAGTTAATAAAAGGTTCCCAATGTAAATTGGAGTAATGTAATTTTTTCTTTTAAAATAACAGTTGTAGGTGATCGATCATTTTAGTAAGTAGGTCTAAGGAGGCACTTTATAGATCATACAGCTGGACATGACAGTATACACTATAAAGCCTTCTATAGAAGATTCAGTAGATTTCTGCTGTTCACAGACATACTTTCTAGTATATGTCATTATTACTTACGTGTATGTTTGTATTTACATTTGGGGAGGGCATGTAGGGATGCTTTTCTCTTTAAAGCCCTATGTACTTCTTACCTTCTTACTTAGAAAACCCTCCTCCTCCTCCTCCTCCTCCTCCTCCTCCTCTTTTTTTTTTCTTGGTTTTTTGAGACGGTTTCCCTTGTAGACCAGGCTGGCCTCGAACTCACAGAGATCCACTTGACTCTGCCTCCCCAGTGCTGGGATTAAAGGCGTGCACCACCAATGCCCATTTTAACATTTGAAAATCCTTAGTTTATAGTTGAGTAACAGACAAATATACTACAATAGTTTCTGTGGAGACTACAACACATTTTAAGTGTGTGTGTGGTTACATGGTTGATTTTGGGATTAGAATCTATGTCCTCCTGTGCCAGGCAAGCACTTGACTACTGAGCTACATCACTAATCCTACCTAATTTTACCTCCTAATTGACTTGGTAGGTACTAAATTTCCTTGATTATATTATTTTTAGCAGATAGGTACACATGGTCTGGAGGAAAGAGCAAAAACAAAAACAGTGCTCAAGCAGCATACTAAAGCTGTGGATGTTTGGTGACATGTTTTTATCTGGCAAAGAACTGAATTTAGAGAAAAATTTAGATACTAACTATAAATGTTAGACTGGGCCAAGTGTAAAGGACTGTAGTGAGAATCATGTGCTTTTCTGTGGAAACAGGATCGAGAAAGTGTGTAGTTTTCAGATTGCAGTAATTTGTAGTGTTAAAAATAAATATAAAATTTAAGCTTTGGTTTTTTAAAGAGTTGAAAGAGTAAGACAGTAGTATTGATTTAGAAGTTGGTTCTAAAATGACATTGAAGAGCTGGGATAATGAAGTCATATGTTAGGCCAGGATCCAATCCACTCAGTGTGTCCACAGTGACAAAGACGGGCTGAGATAACAAAGTCATGAGTTCCTGGAAATCACGACTGGCTTCACTGCCTAAAGTTTGTACTCATACAGGAGGATCTCTCAACTGGAGCCAGCCTGGCCTACATAACTTCACAGAATTCCAAAGCTACACAGAAAGACCCTGTCTCAAGGGGAAAAAAATCCTCTAGCTTTTTAAATTTTATTTTTTAATTGGTGTGCAAAGTATTTATTGGATTTCTGTAAGGGTTTTTAATACATCTCTAGTTTTGGTTAAAATACCTTATCACCATCTTCTCCCACCCTGCCCAATCACCAATTAAAGCTTTATTCTGTTTCCTATCATGTGTATTCTGCTATCTCTTCCTGTGAGGTCCCTGTCTCCAACTCCGTTTATGGACTCTGGACACTCCAGGTTAAATGTACAAGTAAGTGTAAACTGTCAAAGCTAGGCTCCACATACAAGAGAGAAGCTAGTGTTTGTCATTCTGGGCTTGGTTGTCTCACAGTGAATTTTCCAAGTTTATTTCATTTTTCTGAAAACTCCCCAATTTCATTTTTCCTTGCAGCTGATTAAAATTCTACATGTATGCTTTCATTATTCATCAGTTGATGAATATCTAGGCTGATTCAGTTTCCTAGCTATAGTCAGTAGAACAGCAGTGAACATGGTTATGCAAGTATCTGTACAAGCAGGGTATGGAGTCCTTTGGATATACGCTCAGAAGTGGTATTGCTGGGTCATATGGTAGTTCTTGTTTCAGCTTTTTGAGAAACCTCCACACTGGTTCTATAGTTGCTGTATTAATTTGTACTCACATCATCACAGGCTAATCGTCCTCTTTCCCCACATCTTTTCTAGCATTTGTTGTCATTTGTTTTCTTGAGGACTGCCACTATGGGTGAGGCAAAGTAGAATCTCAAGGTAGTTTTGACTGGAGTTTGCCTGATCACGGAATATGTAAATCATTGCTGAACATTTTTGCAAAGTGCGTTAGCCATTTGCATTTCTTTTGAGACTATTCAATTCCCTGCCCTCTACCCCTCAAAATTGGGTGGTTTTCTATATTTTAGTTGCTTGAGTTTCTTGTATGTTGATGTATATATATAGCTGGCAAGGATTTTCTCACATTCTTTATTGACGGCTTGTGTAGCAATTTCACGAGGTCTTATTTGTTGGTTATTGACCTTATTTTCTGTGCAATCAGAGTCTTCAGAAAGTCCTTACTTTTCCTGTGCCTAGACTTGAAATGGATGCCTTATGCTTCTAACAGTTGCAGGGTAAAGGGTCTTACGTTGAGGTTTCTAATCCATTGTGCAGGTTGGGAGATTAGGGCCTAGTCTCATTCTTGTACATGTAGCTATCCAGTTTCCCCAGCACCATTTATGGCAGATGCTGTTTTCTCCAATGTGTATTTTTGGCATCTTAGTAAAGAATCAGGTCTGCAGGTGCATGGACTCTTAGCTAGGTCCTCAACTGTATTCTGCTAATGTTCATGTCTGTTTTTGTGATAGTACCATGCTGTTTTTTTTTTTTTTTTTTTTTTTTTTTTTTTTTTTTTTTGTTTATCTGTTTACTATGGCTCTGTAGTAGATTGGAATCAGGGAATCGTGGTATCTCTAGCATTATTTTTATTTAGGATTTCTTTAGCTATCTAGAGATTTTTATGCTTCCACATAAATTATAAGATTTCTTTTTTTCTGTTTCTGTGGAGAATGTCTAGAATTTTGATTGGGGTTGCATTGAATCTGCACATTTGATAGCATGACCATTATCATACTATTAATCCTATCAGTTCATGAGTGAATATGTCTTTCCATTGTCCAGTGTCTTCCTCAGGTTCTTCACTGTTTTAAAGTGTTCATTGTAGAGCTCTTTCTCCCAAATTTATTGGTTTGTGTTTTGGTAATTGTGAATAGAATTGTTTCCCTGATGTCTTTCGTCCTTGGTGTATAGGAAGATTGTTGATTTTTGTATGTTAATTGTGTATTCTGCCCGCTTGCTGGAAGTGTTTATCAGTTCCAAGAGTTTTCTGGTAGACTCTATAGTGTCTCATGAAAAGAGCTATATGTGTAAATAGAGATACTTTGATTTCTTCTTTTTCTGTTGGTTGTATTCCTTTTGATTTTTTTCTCATTGCTCTAGCTGAGATTTGCAGTGCTATATTGACTAAGCGTGGAAAGAGGGCACTTTGTCTTATTCCTGATTTTAGTAAAAATGCTTTGAGTTGTCCTCTGTTACAGCAGCTATCAACCTGTAGGTTGTGATTCCTGGGTGGGGGCGGGGTGGTCAAATTATGTTGCACAGGGTTCACCAGAAAACACAGATACTTATTACTATTTATTTATTTATTTATTTATTTATTGTTGGTTTTTCGAGGCAGGGTTTCTCTGTGTAGCTTTGGAGCCTATCCTGACACTCCCTCTGGAGACCAGGCTGGCCTCGCACTCAGAGAGATCTCCCTGCCTCTGCCTCCCTAGTGCTGGGATTAAAGGTGTGTGCCACCAACACCCAGCTATATATTACAATTTATAACTAGCAGATTTACAGTTATATGCAATGAAAATAATTTTATGGTTGGGGATCACTATGACATGAGGAAAACTGTATTAGAAGGCTGTGGCATTAGGAAGGTTGAGAATCATGGGTTTGTTATATATTGCCTTCATTATGTTGAAGTATATTCTTTCTATTTGAGTTTCTTTGGGACTTTTAACTTGAAGCAGTGTTGGATTTTATCAAAAGCCTTTTCTGCATCTACTCATGACCCTGATTTCTGTTCTTGGGACAATTCATGTAACTTAGAGCATTTATTGATTCATGGATATGAACCATCCCTGCATTTCTGAAATAAAGCCAACTTGATCATGTTAAGTGATATATTTTTAATTTTCTTGGCAAGTATTTTGAGAATTTTTGTCTGTTTCTCAGGGAAGTTAGTCTACAGCTTTTTTGTTACATCTTTCTCAGGTTGCTAGGATGATGCTAATTTTGGGAAAAAATGGTAATTTTCCTTTTCTTTATTATGTAGTAGTTTGAGGATGTTAATATTTGTTCCTTGAAGATCTGGTAAAATTCCCCAGTGAATATATCTGAGCCTGGGACTTTAGTTTTAGTTGAGAAATATTTAATTACAACTTCAATTTCACTTTTCTTTATTATGTAGCAGTTTGAGGATGTTAATATTTGTTCCTTGAAGTTCTGGTAAAATTCCCCAGTGAATATATCTGAGCCTGGGACTTTAGTTTTAGTTGAGAAATACTTAATTACAACTTCAATTTCACTGCTTGCTATAGACCTATTTAAATGTTTATTTTATGTTCGTGTAATTTTGGTAGATCATACACATTTAGAAATAATTCATCCCCTTCTTTCAGATTTCCCAATTTAGCGGAATGTAGGTTTCTTAGGTAAGATACGATTGCTTTCTGAATTTCATTGGTATCTTCATGGTTCCTGTTTGTCTCTAATAAATTGAATGTTTAGTTTGTCTATATTGTTTACATTTTCAAAGAACTCTTTGTTTCATTGATTCTTTGCACTGTTCTTTTGTTTCTATATCATTAATTTCTACCCTGATCCTAGGGAGCTCTTTTCAGAGCCTTAGGTTAACCATTGTGTTAGTTACTTTTCTGTTGCTATGATAAAAATGTCATGACCAAAAGCAGCTTTGGCTTCTGTTCCAGACGGGGGTGTCTGTAATGGCAAGGAAGGCATGGCAGCAGGTGGCTGGAGCAGGAAGCTGGCTGAGCGCATTTTTCTCACACAGGAAGCAGAGAAGGAAGTAGAATAAGGCTATAAACCCTCAAAGCTCACCACTACTGACATACTTTCTATCCAAGACCCTGCATCCTAATAATTCCATAAATTCCCAAAACAACACCTCCAGCTGCAGACCAAGTGTTCAAATACATG